TTCTGTCTGTTAGAACTATTAAGAAGTCGCCTTCATGTTTTAATATTGGTTTCAAATATTCATCCAAAAATTTCTCTTCAGCTCTTTTCGTAACAAACTACCATCTTCTTTAACCAAACATAAATATATAATATATATATATATATATATATATATATATATATATCTGTATTTATTCTAATTCTTTGTTATTATTTATTATTTTTAGCTTTGTTGCGAACATTTTTCATAAAAATAATAATAATATTATTATACTCAATAATTCTAAAGCGATTATTAAATGATTAATAATATTCAATTATATCTCTGTAATAATTAATTAAAAATGATCTGTATTTTATAAAATGTCACTATATGTTAGGTAAGAAATGTACACTAACGGTAGCTGTTGGAGAGAGACGTGGGATAGGCGCCACCCGCCTTTTATGCCACTGCACTTATGCACTCGCTGCTGCACCCGTCATGACACTCGCTCCCAAATGTCAAGGCTAGGCGTCTCACTATCTTATCTCTTGGCCTGTCTATAATCATACGGCTCATGTCATAATGGTTTGAAGTATAATAGGAATACGTCTGGAAAATTGTTTATGGCTCATGTAATGTATGGATGTCAAAGAAAAGAAAAAAAAAATGAAACCTTGTCTACAAACGATATATCAACTGCACGTGATATGTCACTGCATCGAACTACTACAACAACGTGGGCAACGCATATATAAACATGTAAAAATCATAATGTAAGCGATTCCTTAAAAAAATAAAATGTATTCAAAATATGTCAGGCTTGGTACATACACCCAACATTAAAAGTTAAAAAAAAAATAATCATATGAAATGTATTAACGGTATTAAGCCTCTTAAATTTCGTTATAGTTTATACAGCATAGAAGCAATGCTGATTATCACTATTACAATATAATTTCACATGGCTAAATAAGAATTTCATACCAATAACCAATCGAAAAAGTTAAAAATATAGTTACTCAAAACTACTCACTCTACTATTTCAAGTTAGTGTAAGAACGCGAAATATATATTTTATTTATCTTACTAAACAACTTAATAAGTGAAATAAGAATTTTCTTTCTCACAAATTCTACAATTATGATTAATAAACACAATGTTTGTCCGATTCAAAATATTTTTTTTCAGAATTTTGCGATGTGAAATAGATGAAGACGAATAGGTGAAAGAGGGTTTCATATAGCTTCTTTCATAAGTTAATGTTAGGTGTTGTTCAACGCAGACTGTATTCAGAGTCAATTAACTGAAAACAATAACCCTTTATACAAGAATTTCCATTTTTAATCTAATCTATCTACTTTTAACCTAATCTAAGTATTTTGTCTTTAATTATAAAAATCAGAATATGAATGAGCTACTCTTGATTTCTCTCTAAGAATTGAATTAATTATGAAATTGAGATAAATCAATTCTGTGTATTATCAAGAGAAATCATTTACCTCCAAGAACAATTAGGATGCTATAAGCGTTTTTTACTCTCTATCTATTTTTTATAGTATCGAACTTGTTTCAGTTGTTTTTTATTATAATGTAATCATTATACTATAGTATTTATGTGTCCATTGATAATCAAATTTTATCATAAGTTAATCCTCTGGCTCCTAATAATATTAATATTTAAAAAAATAGTACTCTTGCTAGGTTAAAACGTCATCAGAGACTTGGGACGTTTGATTTAGGTTTCAAAATTACTGTATCAGTCACAACTTTTTTATTGTACCTAGTCCTGTCGTACATATTGTTACAAGGAAATATATTCAGATTTCAACAGAAAAATTAATTTTTTCAAAAGCTTTATTAGAAAATAAAATGTATATCTATAGAGAGTAAAACGAAAATTAAATTACTCAAAATGTCCTTCTTTTGCCTTGACACAGGCATTTAATCTCCGTGGCCAGTCGTCAATAGCAGCACGCAACACTTCTTCAGGAAAGCGCTCAACTGCTCGGACCAGAGATGGTTTGAGGCTTTCCAAGTTAGGCTATACCCTGTGGCATGCCATCCTCCCCAGTTCGGGCCAAAGCAGATAAACCAATCCGAGGCAGAGATGAACTCTGCAATGTTCTTTGAGTTGACCTGCCCCTATGAGCTGGATCGAATTCCCAATGACTTCCAACAAACAGAATCTTTTAGAGGCTTGACAACATTTTCCAAAATATCGTCCTGATAGTTTTTAGCAGCTGTTTTAACTCATCTTTTTCTCCCTCAAAACGAACTAAGAAATCCCCTCCACCCAAATATATACAAAACAACACATGATATTATATGTACCTACTCGCTTCATGTCTATTTTACTTATATTTTTAAAAAAGAGATAAAACTGTTCTCAGGTTTCGTTTTGATTGATGGAAATTATTTCCCTTCCCAACCTTGAAATTTCCTAAAAAAGCGATTTTTTTTTTCACTTAAGTGTAAAACCTGATATTGACTATTATTGGCAGACGATTTTATTTTCATTTTTTTTTTTTACATATTTTTGGGTTTCTTTGCAGTCGTTAAAGATTTTGTTACACAACGTTTAGGTAAAATCCTGATTATGAATCGACTATGTAATAAATCTACACTAAAAATATTAACGGCTCGATTTAAAAAAAAAAATATATATATAATTAATAAAATCAGTGTATACATATGTATATTTATACACTGAATTATCTCTAAACATGGTGGTAAGGACAAACATGCCGGACACGAGACAATCCGACACATGATTAGAGATTCTATTGGCAAGATTATTACCGTGCTGCCGACTTAAACAGACAATAATGGCTGTCGAACAACATGGAGGTACTTTGATGCCACTCTCTCCCTGGAATTTATTTCATCCTTTAACGGCTGAAGAGAGCTTTATGGCATGTCCTCATGGCAATAAAGGACACCGATCCAGGATCAAAGGACATCAGCTGTCCACAAAAAAGTTTCATTGAGAATGAGGTGTTCTCATTACTTATTTTTTCATTTTTAAAATAAATAAATAAATCATCCGTTTATAAAAAATCTTTTTTGTTAAATTGTGATTTACCGATTGATTACATTTGATTTGATTACGGTCTACGCTATAGTGCACTCAGTTTAAATTTAAATTAATAGAATACCAGAAGTCTTAAATATATATCATTAAATTTTAGTCTTTAACACACTGTCTCATCCTCATGTACTAATAGAGCATAAAAAAATTATCAAAATGCTATACCTAACTTGGTTGAATTTGATTTAGCACTTGCAAATATACGACGAACCATATTCTACAAAACAATAAAAATTTGTATTAATAAAGCTGAGTAAACATTAACAGATAAATTTAGCGGTGAAATGTGTAAGAGATTAGAAAATTGGAAAGTTTGTAAAAATATATTGAAAGATTAGAAACTTAAATCGGAAGTGGATGCTGGAAAAGATATTATGGAAATCAAAGGGTCAGAGGTGCAAGAGTAATTACAACTTTTATTTAAAAATAATGCCATTTTTATTTTAATAATTTGATTAAAAGGTAGTAATTAAATTGTATAATTAAGTTCATATGAGACATTTATTCAATCTTTTTAATAAACACTGAATTGACCCGACCGTCAAATTAAAACAATTGTTATTATGGATGAAAACAATTAAAAATATGCTTAAGGCCAAAAAAAACAAAACAAAAAAAACAGAATACTAGTAACAAAAAGCAGCTTATAGTTTCCATATAATTGATTACATTACGTTTACATATATGCTTGATGCATTTCATATATTGGCATTTCATATTTATTAGTAAGACCTTATTTCTGAAATAGAGTAAAACTATGGAATACTGATATTTTTTGTGGAATGTGGAAAATAAATAAAATTATAAAACAGAGAAGCTGACGATTAATGTTAATATATAAAATGCTGACATTGCATGCAGAGACTAAAGCACGTTTCGCACTAAAAAGGACAACTACCGTTCGATTTGTTTACACAGAATACGGAGAAATAATTGAGATTCCATTGAAACGTAAACAACCCTCTGATTAAGAAGGGAGATTTATTCTCTTGATAATGTTAAAATGTTCTCTTTAATTTAATAATAAATTAAATAGGCGAGTTCAAAAATAAGTCAGAAATCAGACCATTACTAAAAACGTCCTGAATTAAAAGCTATGGCTCAAGGCCACCGACAAGCCGTAACAATGACAACAAAATCATTTTTTTTTATGTTTCTTTAACCCAATCAATTCATTCTCATTAATTTGGTCCGAAAAAACGAATTTGGCCATGATTTGTTTGATTAGCTCCCGTTAATGTGAGATATGTACTCCAAATATAATGTACTTGTGTGATTGTTGAAAATTTTTCAAGATAAATGAACATTGTTCATTTCTCAATTTATTGTACAAAATAGTTATCAATATTTTATCTATTTGTGAATAAATATAGAATCCTACATTTAAGTTTCTGCAGCTGGATCGATTAGTTTCATTTTGTCCTACAGCTTGTACATTAACTTAGGAACATCTCTGGAGAATCCAGAAGAAGTTTATTATTACTGATTTACTCCAATATCCGGCACATATCTCTGATTTGTTTTAGAGAAATCTGCGACGAAACGTCCAGTACTCGTCACTTACATTTTCAAAATTTCCTAGAAAAAAATTTAAGAAGGAGGGAAGAAAACGTATTTTTAGGAACACTTTTCAAAAACCAGCATCATAGTATTATGAAAGCAGTTCTCACACCAAGTGAGGAAAGTACTGTTTCTTCAGCTTTATTTGTTGTTGATCGGATTGGAATTTGATAGGCTTCGCAGCTAATCATTAAAATAATTTCATTAACAATAGTACATTTTCATGAAATAAAAGTTTTTGTACATGTTAGGCCAAGTAAATAAAATATAGATGTTACGATCAGTAAGAAAGAAAAGATTTCTTAACTAGCTGAACAATAAATGATAAGTAAATTAATATAGTGACTTATATTTTATTTTATTAATTTCAATTTTTGTTTTTTTCCAGGATGAAGTTCCAAATTACCTCATTAGCCCTGTTGGCTTTACTGCATCAGGTTATTGGAAAGGATGGTGAGTTCAAATTTCGATAAATAAATGTTTATATAAGGATTTCTGCTTCTAAGAATTTTAAGTTCTGCATTAACACCCTACTTAATTATCCTGCAATTTGAACTTTTGTAATTTTCATAAGTTGAAACTTTAATTTTACAGCATCAATAAAAAAAATGAGTAAATTCCATTTTTCTAACATTGAAGTGCTCTTTTTACTACATGTTCATCCACCTAGTTAGCAATTTTTTTTTCTCAAAGCTTTGAGACATATCGTAATATTTCTCAATGAACAAGCTTTGATTTTTTTTTTTTAATATATATAAATATGTATAACATAAATGTACTTTATTTACTTGTTGATATGCTTACATAATTTTAAAAATAATTATTTTTTTGTTTTTCTCATAAAATTTGTTTTTTAAAATAAATAAATAAATTTTGATATTGGATTGATAGTTGACTGCAGTTAATAATTGAAGAAAAGTTAGTTGGGGTGTGCAGTGAAATCAAATTAAAAATAATATTTATGTATAATAAATATAATTTATCTATTTTTACACCAAAACACCAACACAAAATACCAACCAACTTTCTTCAATAGTTAAATTATCATATTTTTACTTTCGAGAATTTATTGTTCTCACATTCATATAATTCAGTGAAACAAGAAGATATTCTTATTATATACATATGCATATATAAAACATTTTTCAGGAAATAATTATTATACACTGAAATCGCCAACAAACAGAAAAATATTTTGGTATTATTATAAGTAAATGAAGTTTTAAGAAAACTAGTTACGAAATTGTACTAGCTATAGTTGAAAATCAATATTCACCACATTCAGCTATTAGGTAATCCCAAGAGTGGGAAAGGCATATCACAAACGTATAAATGGCCTAAATAATTATAGAGTAAGGGATGGAATTGTAGATTTGTATGCATATTTGGTAATTATGATTTATTTTAAAAGTGAGATATTTGAAGGGAATCGGCTCAAACAGCGTTATAACTTTCACATAATCTGTTATGAAATAATTTTAATGGTGTCACATTAAATTTCGAGGCAGTTTTCGCGTGCGGAACTTTCGAGATAAGTTCGCGAAGGAATAACATTTATAGCGGCTGTCACGTTAGATTCCGCCGTCATAAATACACTTTAGATCCAAGGATCAGATTGCTAAATAAAATTATTAGAACGAGCCATGGCCTTTCCAATCGACGGGGATCATCAAGCAGTGATTGCTTCCACTCCATCACAGTTCGCAATTTTCCCTTTTTTAGAAGATATTGGTGGACAATCCTGCCATCGGCGTTACTTTTCTTTCGCTATGATATTTTAAGAAATTACGTAATCGGGGAAAGGGTGCATTGGAACGGGATGACATGCGAAATCTTTACCCCAACGGTTGTGATTTAACTGCAAGATCGCAAAGTACTATCTGGTGAAAGATAATATCGTATCGTTCCCCAGTTACGCAAGAAATACTGACATTTTTAATTTTTAATAGCTTTAATTGGACTTTATATATCACTCGTTTTAATTGGGCTTCATATATCACTGATACACCTGAGTGACATTGAAAAATTTAATTCATTTTTTTTAATAAGAGTTTTTAAATAGTTTATCGTAAACGAGTTACAACTCTCCAAGAGACAAAAATTGATAGTTCATAATTGAAAAATTCCAACCACTAAGCCCTGCGTTGCTAAAATGAAGGTGAAACATAAAATAACTCGTCAACGTTTCGTCAATTCAGGCATCATCAGGATAGAACACAAACGAAACCCTAGATCCACATCAAACCGTGATCTCCAATCACAGCTCGAAGAAAGGTGACGTACGTTTATGATCAAACAGCTGATCAGCAAAATAAAATAAAATAAAAATGCAGGTGAATCGTAAACCGAAATAAATAATATGTCACAAACAATTACAAATAATAAGAAGAATAGAAGTAATAATAAGTACAAATTTAAGAATTTTTTTTTTTAAAAATACATCAAAGGAAAGTTATCAATAACAGCTGATCAGACAGGCGAAATTAAAAAAGCCAACATAGATTCACCAGACCTGTTCAAGATGCTCAATGATTCAAAAATAAGTGATATTTTTGCCTTTCTTTATATTTTTGAGCGTGTGTTGCATTTAACGTAGATGCATATGGTTTCCAAACGTTTTGCATGATATAAATTAATCTAGTGCTAGGATTAATTAATACTTAATAATTTAAGTTACGAAAGTTTAAAAATTAGTGAAATTTAGTTATATATATATATATATAAATACACCCATATATATATATATATATATATAATATATATATATATATATATATATATATATATATATATATATATATATATATATATATATATGTGTGTGTGTGTGTGTGTGTGTGTGTGTTAATGGGTGTATTTAGTGATAAATAAAAATAGCAACGCTAATATATATATAATTATTGCGGCCTTTATTAGCACTGCCTAACCTTACTGCGGCCTCTGATGATAATAAGGTTCTCCAGGTATGTGCTATATCCATAGCATATCCATAGGTATGTACAGTATTTTCAAAAAATACATTTATACCTATTTCCCTCTAATGTTCTGATATAAGAGTAAGTGAAAGTAATAGAAAAAAAATTGTTTTCGTAGTGCCAAGTTTATTTCTATGAAGCATAGCCTCATAATCATGCTTAAAGTGATGTTGATAAATAATTATAAGTCTAACCGGCACCTCACTAGGTTATTGCCCCCTCCTGATATAGTACCGTGGCACATCCTATTCTCGCACTCGAGAACCACACATCAGTTATGGAAGTTCGTTTGTGAGGCGCCATCGTGTGAGGGCCACCACCGACGCTAATCATCCTCTGAAAGACAACGACAGCCGTCTCCTGCATTAGGGACGGTGCTCTCCCAACGAGGACAGTTGTACCAGTACCGGCGCCTTGTGCAATACCGCCCTCGGCGCATTCAAGTGCACTCCGCCTGGTCAGGTTGCGCCAGTGCGTTCCTATGATTCAGCCGATTCCCGCGGACGCTAGGACAAAGCTGATTCACCCGCGATTTGTCTCCTGTCCCTCGATATTGCCTCACTGAGCGCTCCTGGCGCCGGGGCGAAACATTAGTTAAGGCTTGTGCCAATTCCAACGTCATCAGTCAGCACGGAAATGTTGCCCAAGGCGGGGAAGGTTCTTTAATTACTGTTGCTAAACGTCGGGCTGCAAAAGGTGTGTATCGAAGGTGACCTTAACGAATTTTTATCTGCTTCATGTCACACGGCAATCTGTTATGAGTTTTACAATAAGCAGATGTGTTGTAGTGAATTTGGAAAATGATATTTTAGCCATGAAAACGATTATACCCATATACCCTTTTACTGGCCTTCATTAGCTTCCTTAATTCAGGAAAAGAGATATCTCATCCAGTTCATTTTCAGTCGCCTCCTAATGGACTTGTCAGTTGAGGCCACTTTGTTTATAAGTGCACTGTACACTGTAATTTAATATGAAATAGAGAGTAAAGAGTACGTATGTGTGGTTAGACAGATGCTTGTCTAAGTCGTTATGTAATGTATTGTTTTTTACGTATCAGAGAGCTTCTGTTATAAGATTTAAATTTGGGATTGGAAAGTAGTTTTTGCTGGACTGTAAGTTTGTGAGAAATGTGGGTCTCAGGTCATGGTTCAGTCGGATATTAATCCAAGGTAACGTACACTGTCCGTCTCAGAAATTTGATTTTCGCTAATATAAACTGCTGGCCAAGTACCCCGTCGTTGCGTGAATATTATATGTTCTCATTAGCCTTGATTTAATCTAATTTTCCAAAGTGGGTATCAATTTAGTAAGTATTCTTTTTAATTCAGTGAAGCTAGTGTTTTTTTTTTTTTTTTCAATTTTTGTATTGTAAGCATGGATAGCAGTCAATATTTTAGAGCTGATAGATATATCATGTGTATATATGAGCCTTTTAGTTGTTATTCTAGCTGGAAAATTTATAATATCTGGACAGACAGTGAATAAGTTGATTCCAGATTAGGTGATCGCCCAGTGTTGAAATATAGAACTGTGAATAAAGGTAGTACCGGCGCCTAAATTTTCCCACTTGAAATATCACTAAAATTAATATAAAAAATGTTGATATTGAAGTTAGTCATTCTGTCAACTGAAACGCTCATATAATGGATAGTAAAAGACCCAGTATTGATTATTAAGGTACTCTGGCCATCACTGGTCGAATCGAGAAAATTTCTATACCCTAAAGACAACAAAAATTGATAATTATATTGAATTAATTTAAACACTCACATATATAGGTATATTTTACGCCTTTTCAGCAAGCTATTACTTGTTAATTAACTTTATAGTTTAATGGTTTTCCTCGTTTCTTGGTACGAATGTTTTCCTTAAATGATTCCATCTCCAAAAATACACAACCCTCTTAAAATGTGTTCCCTTAAAAATTTTGCTCAACCCTCTTCCGGGCATCCCTTCTCATATAAAAATGTTACCTACTCGACGATTTTGGTTTGAAATAAACCAATGGCAGTTTTCTATATTAATGAAACATTTCACTTCGCCATTTATATATTTTATTATTGTTTATTGTTGTGAACTTTTAAATGATGAAGTGTGGAAATAATAATAATTGGAACAATCTTGCCTAACATACTCCAAATATAAATATTCCAAATATTGTTAGAACAGAGACTAGAACTGGCTTTGTCCGCCGCTAAAGGTCAAAGCGTTCGTTAGTCGGAACCTGGCGGACAGATTCGGTCGAAACGTGACGCAACACCAGGCAGTGTATGTTCATTAGCTCCATCAAGTTCTTGTTTCTTCGGAGCCTGAACCTCCGAGGACGAGTCTCTAAGTATTCTGAATCAGTACAGTATCCTAGTTGTCCTAGACCTTATCCCTGAAATTTTTTCCAAATTTCATCAAAATCGTACATATCATCCTATCTATCCCTATTCTCTATCTAGCTCTACCCATCCTTATAATCCTCCTCGA